ATATGGTCTAGTGTTATGAGTATGCAAACATGGCATATGTAAACATGACATGTGTAAACTATGGAACGCCACAGCTGTCTTATGTGGAACTCTGATATTACGTTATGTTGTTCCCGTATTTCTTTTGTTGAAATAAAAAAAGTTGTTACATACACGAGCGAATCGAACAAGTTAAGATATATAAACACCATAAGATGGTGACAAGGGAACGTCACCATCTACAAATGGATAATTAACAATAGGAAATGAAAATCATCACTTTTATCGTAAATTTTTGTATTAAGCTTCCCGTTAAAGATATAGATATCAAGATTCAGGAAAGGGCAGTGTTCATTGTTAGTATTAACTTTATTTCAAGTCAGTTCAGTAGGATAAATCTCTTTGGTGCACGTACTGAAGTCGTCATTATTGAGAGCCAATATATCATCCAAATATCTGAAAGTGTTAATAAATTTTTGTATAAGATGTTGTTTCGATGGGTCTTTGCTGATTTTAGTCATAAATTCTAACTCATAACAATGCATTGGAATAACCCTTACTCGGGTGATCATTTTGGACAGGTCTGCAATAAGAAGTGCACAGTTAGTCCCCATTGAAATTCCGATAACTTAACGATATACGGAATCTCCATAACGAACAAAAATGTTATCCAGTAAAAATTCAAGTGCAGGTATTGTATCAAAGCAGGTCCAATTGACATAGTTCTTTTGTTTGTTGTTTCTAAAAGTTCTTTTGTTTGTTGTTACTAAAAAAATGATCTAAAAGAGTTTGAACATATATATTCGCAATCTGACTTTTTAAATTTAATTAGGTGTGTGCATTTTTTCTTAATGATATTATGAGGCAAAGTGGTATATAGGGTAGAAAAGTCTAAACTTTGAACAGATTCGAAATCACCAATACACAGGTAAAATAGCTACGGACGTTTCACGGATGTGGTAATAAACGTCCGTAAAACATCCGTAATATGGATGTATTACGGATGATACGGTTACGTCCGTAAAACGTCTGTAAAAATACATACGTAAAACGTACGTGTAAAAACTGATGTAAAACGGATTTTCCGTTTCACGGACGTTTCTTAAACATACGTATTACGGACGTTTCTGCAACATCCGTATTACGGCTATATCTTATTCAAAGATGTAAAAGTACCATGCATGATATATGCATGACGGCTAATACATGCATAAAGTAAAATTCTTAACTTGCTTTCAACATTCTGCATGCCAGACATACATGTGTATAGTGATCCTCTGCTTCAGCCTATAACTTTTAATATTTGCATAATATGAGTACATATGAAGTGATTTTTTTCCGAAAAGACCACATGATTTAATTAAAAGTATGAAATATTAAAATAATTAACTGACAATGTCAATGACTGATTTATAATCCTTTTCTCCAGAGCATTTTTTTTTATATACTAAATTTGCATAGGATTTTTCAATGAAATGCAGAAAATACTTGTACTTTAATGCAATGTTAACTGTACATGAAAATGTTTCAATTGATGCACTACAACACAGAGGCATCATTATAGAGGAAAGGGTTAAATATAGCAATTTAATGAAAAGTGTATAGTAACAGGAACATATACATATATATATTGATATACTGTCATGACTGTTCCCAGGTAGTAATTAACAAAATTTAATGGAAAGCTTCTTAACAACAGTCACGATGATTCAACAGTTTTCTCATTCTTTCATATAATAAAAAAGATAGTGAGTTTCTAAACACTGAATTTTTTCATTGCTTCTTGATGTTCATCATGAACATCCATTTATTTAATTTAAGATATGGTTGTACTTTTCCATCAACCATTTTAAAACATATCTTCCAAAAAAAATCTAGAAAAGGAGTCAACTTGTGAGTGAAATTATATAAAATTAAAACAATGTTAATTAAAAAAAATATCTTTTTCCTGTATGTAAGGTCAAATAAAAAAATATGTGTGCTTCTTATTTCCGCAACTACCCTATATTTTAAGCTTAGAAATAGCCTACCCTAAAGTTTTTTTGATTTATCAATAGGCACTGTTAAAGTCAGAATTTCTCTCCCATCAGCCCATAGACTCAATGTAAAAAAAAATTGTAAAATAAGAAAAATCCCCTACCTATCCTATTTTTTCAAAGATGTAATAGGAAACACACATATTATTTCATTTGGCCTAAATTAAGAAATAAATGTAATTGAAAAAAAATCTTTATATTTTTTAAAAGATTTTATTTTTAAAAGCTTGTCCTCACAATATTAAGTTGAATTATACAAAGAGTGATTGGTGTCTTTCCCACAAACAACTAATGATGGATGGCTAATTAATTGCCATGAATGCAGTTAAAAGAATATAAAAATCTAACATTTAACCTTATTTGTAACGCTTGAGTAAAAATGACTGGATGTATATATATATATTGTACAAGGCTGAATTAAAATTACCTGGTTTCTTCAAAATTATGAGACCAATTAATGGAAATAGACCTGACTGTTGTCAATACTTGATTGTTGATCATTCTGATTATCTGTCCAAGTACAAAACTATGCTAACAAGAAATTGCACATGAGCATATAGAAAGTACTTTAAAAGTTTCAGATTGTTTGATGTCTGAAGTAGTTTCTATCCTGTTCAATGACTGAATGAGGATCATAAGATTTAGGGGGAAGGAAACACTCTTATCGTGTTTAAATCACGACAACCAATGCAATAGTCACATGGTATTACTTCGTCCCTTATACCCGCCCTTATATTAAAGCCCTTATACAATGCATCTGAGACTACTATAACCTCAGACTATAACATAGTGTTATAATAGTCTCAGAATATATGTAGAATAATGCCGGTAACATTATAACTTTATCATACATTTATTCTCCTTTGGTGTGGAATAAAAGCAAATTACCTGCAGTGCTTCTATTTTATTAAGTTTTGTTTCAAGCAAGCATTTGTGAAAACAGTACTATTTAAAGTATTTTTGGGCAAGATAGAAATTTACAGTACAGGGCCTTTTGGTGTAGGTCTATTGTAAATGATGAAATTGAAAGAGGATACCAATTAAATTAATTTATAACCAAAAATCTAATTAAACGAGAAAAGCCAGAGAATAAAAGATAAAACAACAATAACTTACCATTACACATAAACTGACTGATCCAGAAATTTTCATAAAGGGGGTGGGGCACTGACTGTTAAAAAGCAGGCCTCACTAGTCATGCCAGTGGCGGATCCAGATATTTTCATAAGTGGGGCCCACTGACTGCCTAACTGAGGGTCCCGCTCTGGTCATGCTTCAGTGATTTCCTATATAATCAACCAAATCCCCCCCTGGCCCCCTCTAAATCCACCTCTGCATGCTTAAGAGATAATCCCTATACAATCAATCAAATTTTTCCCACAAAAAGGGGAGGGGCAGGGTGCACTAAATTCCCCTCTGTGTGCAACATGAACATCCAAAATACATGAATGAACTCAAGTAGTGATAGTAGTGAACAGTTCGGAACTTCCCGGGGCTGCTCAACATGTGGCAACCTACGTCTTAGTATAATTGCAAATTTAGTAAGTAAAATTTTGATTTGATTCGACATTTTGACAAACATGATAACATAAGGGACTGACGACATCATAAGATCGATGTAGGATAAAAAAAAACTTAAATCAAATAGTTTGGGGTGGGGTGGGTGGGTAAAAATTGCTGCAAGTTTTGTTTATCCAACATCAATTTTACATATATATCAAATCAATTTTTCCCAAATTAAGTGAAAAAGGGGGGGGGGGGGGGGGGTGGGTCGGTCAGTGAATTATCCTACATTGAACTTTTGATGTCGACTCGTCCCTAAGATCTGGTGAGCTTTTCGTTGAATATAGGAGATAGTGATTAAAGTATTTGCAAGCAAAGTTCATAAGTTGAGAATTATAAAACAAAATATACTGTTTAACCTTGGACCAATAGATCAAGTCCAAAATTTAGCCATTTCAAGGATCGATCAGGGTGATAATGTAGCACTGGCTATTACAATACTTGTGTAGAACCTTGTATAGAGTAAATCAAGGAGGCAGTAGGAAAACTTATAAGATGTTTCCTAATAATCATGATTACAAAAGAACTTGACACGGATTCTTAACTGAAGGTCTGTCCGATTAGTAAAATTTCGAATGCACTTAAATGAATACATAAGTGACCCCCCCCCCCCCCCCTTAAGTCTCCGCCAAGACTGATAGACTCCTTAAGCCAATTCTGTAACCAAGAGCATTCCTATGTTTATATTTTATTTATTATTGAGTTACTGTTTAACCTTTTGCTCTTCTCTGATTAGAGCTAGGATTTGTATAGTAATAATATACAAATCCTTGATAAGAGTAATCCTCGTTTGTCAATTTTCAATAATTCCGCGGCACCACCCCCTTCGGCAAACAGTCTTGTATTTAATTCTGAATAGAACAAAATGTAAAATAAGTGAATAAGTTATAGATTAAATAATAAATAAATAATTAAATATTCTTTATTTAGTTTTTTCTTTATTCTCACTTCTTCCAGAGACATGTACGAATGTACATGTATGTCTCTGATTCTTCATAGTCTTCTATTAAGGATTTGTAGAGTATACAAATCCTTGATTATAACAAAGGCATATAATACTCAGTGTACCACTTCTGAACTTTTTTGTAATTATTTTCTATACTTAAATCCCCATTCTTGATTCCAGACCGGGTTCCGGACTAACTCTCATATACGTAAAAGATCGTAAATGTACGAAAGCTTGACACGTCGAATACGAAAACCCGGAAATATTTTCTCCGTTGCCGTTTTTTATACTATGACGCAAAATCCATGGACGCTCGTCTGCTGCCGAATTCATGTTTTACAGTTTAACAAGGATTTGTATAGTGTCACTGTACAAATCCTTGAGTTTAAAGAATGGAAAGATATTTTATAGTCAGATAGACATGATAGATAATACAAAGAACTCTGGTTTTCAAAACCGATGGGTCAAAAAGTATGAACAGATAAATTGAAATGGGTTGCTTGTCGATTAACTGGAAGAAACCGGGGAACGAAAGAAAGTTGTGTTTCTCTTAACGGATTACGTACCCAATATTTTGTACTTGGAAAGCGCAACGAAAGGTAAATATTATCATGTACATATTTAAGAAGATGCTAGTGCTATACTTTTCACGAAAAAAAATTTGACTTTATAAATGTCATCGCATGCAAACCCGAAAATCAGTCAAAGATTGTCAAGAACGGACGCAAGTCAACTCGACCCACTGGCAAAACGCCCTACTTTTTTAACAACACGCCTCCCTTTATAAAATATCCCACTCTTGTTAAGGGAGCTACCATGTGAGTTTTATTGGGGGGTACTGGTAGGGGTGTGTTATTTGAAAAATATGCGGAACTGGAGTTCTGTCAACTTATAAGTTAAAAAAAAGCTAGGATTTATGTAAAGAATTACCAGGAACGAAAATAGTGAAAAATTAACTGGCAGGACAGAGATTTCAATTAAAAAAAAAATGCAGGATAACATTCTTATCCTAGCCCCCACCCCATAAAAATCAAGTGGTGGCTTCCTTACCAACTCGCCCCGCTTTTAAAAAAAATTGTCCCACTTATGAAAAGGTTAAATCCGTAAAATATACTCCTGTCAACAATGGCAACTCGCCTAACTTGGGTAAAATCCAAATGAATATAGAATATAAAAAAAATAAAGGTCTGCCAACTCGCCCGTATTTACTTATCTACCCAGAAATTAGAAGACACTGATACAAAAAAATCGAAATTTAATATATGATATTTATTGATTTAAAATGATGTTTCACTTCTTAAAATATGATTGTAGATTCATTATTTATTATTAAATTATTATGTAATTTATGTATTTATTTATTGTATCATAATCTATTTGATTCTTTTTTTAGCTGACTCAGAATCATGCATGATGATACTGTTTGGGCCCCCTGGTTGTACATAGGAAGTGGACTCCTCGAGAAGATGAAAGGTCTGCTTTACATGTATGTAATGTAAATATAAAAATAAGAAAATGTGGTGATTGCCAATGAGAAAAAATAGATGAATTTTTAAAAGTGTAAATTCACTTGTTTTATTAATCCTAATAAATCTGTCATATTGTAATGATAATAATGTTTAAATTACGTAATTATTTTCAAAATAAAATATTGTTTACACCAATGAGAAAAGACAACTCTCCACCAGAAATCAAATGACATTGAAGTTAACAACAATAGGTCACTGTACATCCTTCAACAATGAGCAAAGCCAATACCGCATAGTCAGGTTTTAAAGACCCTATATGAGAATCACAAATTTGTAAATCAATTCAAACCAGAAAACTAACAGACTAATTTATACAATGTAATATATAAAAAACAGAACCAAAAAAACAAAATATTATAAACAGCAACAAACGACAAACTGAACCACTGAATAACACTAACAGGCTTCTGACATGAGACAGACGCATTCAAAAGGTTGTGGTGGGGCTAGACTAGTAGTTTGTGGTGCTAAACCAACCACCTTAGCTGGGATATTGGTGTGAAAAGGGCTTTTAAAGCAGATTTATACATCCCTAAAACTAAAAAGACTAAGTATAGATCTGAGAGTACTCCCAATTGCTAACAGCTAGTTCAAAGCCAATAACAACTTTCAAGGTACATGTATTTACCACCAAACCTTGTCTTGTTTAGTCCATTTCTCAGATATTACCTTATATCAAATACTAGTTCAACTTTTGGTATAATTTAAACATTTTTGAATGACTTGAAATTTCAAAAAGTATCATGATTATTAAAATAACTTGATGGTAAGTTGATGCCCAAAGATTGGCATTATAAATCATGACAGATTCAGAGATCCAATTATACATGTATATAACCGCTTTTGTTCATCCCTTCATTCAAGGGTCATATGGATTTTATATGATGGATTAGATCATTAGAACATTAAAATGATTAAATACTTTGATTTTTTATAGTCATTTTTATACGCCTGTCAAAATTTTTACGGGACATATTATGTTATACAAATGTCCGGCTTCCGGCCGTCTGTCTGTCTGTCTCTCTGGCGTCCACATGTCGCACTGTAACTTGAGAACCACTTATCCAAATTTAATGAAACTTAACATAGTTGTTTCTTATGATGGTCAAACTATCTGCATACTTTTTGGTGAAAATAAGATTTAAACTTTCGTAGTTACAAGACTTTATAGCTAAAACAGGGGTGTGTTTTTTTCACATGTCGCGCCGTATCTCAAAAAACATGTGTTATTATTGCTTAAAACTTTACACTACTTATTTATATTAATCTTAAGATCTGTATACTTTTTGGTGATGATTCAAAATTTTATTTTAGAGTTATTGAGTTTTTTGTAAAAAAAGGGGGTTTTCACATGTCGCGCTGTATCTCAGAAACTATTTATGATTATTGCATAAAACTTCACACACAAGACGATGGGTGTATCATGCGCTCGTGGCACAGCTGTTTATTAGCTTTTCTCATCACAAGGCGTCTGTCGTCGTTGTCCGTCGCTGTTAACTTTTACAAAAATCTTCTCTTCTGAAACTAGGGAGTCAAATTGAACCAAACTTGGCCACAAACATCATTAGGATATTTAGTTAGAAATATGTGTCAGATGACCTCTCCTGCTAACTAACATGCCAACATGGCTAAAAATAGAACATAGGGGTAAAATGCAGTTTTTGGCTTATACATGTGTAGGACTCGGAGGTGTGATGGGGAAGCTGAAGTGCGATGGTCCACGCCGAAGTGCGATGGTCCTTTCGATGAAGTGCGATGATTTTGCATGACGTTTGATATTGTGACGTTTTCAAATACAACGTTATGAAACAAATGGATTCACAGGCAGGAGAATAAGATTTGTAGATGAAGGTTTCGTACGTACGAAGGAAAGGAAACAGAATGAAACGAACGATTTAAGTCCCAAACAGTTTTGAGCATGTCTTGGTCTTATATAAAATTTGACTTCTCCTCAAGTTAACATCACATGATTTTGTGTGGACAACTTTTAAAATAATAAATTAATTATTAGCAATGTTTTCGTTATATCAAGTAGAGATAATTTTGTTTTATTCTCGAAATGAATCCAGCATGCTTTGTAAGAAAACGGGCAATCTTGGTTATTTTATTTTGTTTAAAGTATTAATATTCTGCTATGGGTTAGGCCAAAAGAAACCCAAATGGTGCCAACTTGTTGTAATTCTCAGTTTCTGCTGCTTAGCGAAAAATCAGCTAATTCTCAAGCTAATGACAGAACAAGCGTCATGTCTCACTATATGTCAAGCATAAATGTAATCGGTAGTTTTTATTTCTTAAAAACTGTTATGATTTATTAAATAAATAGATGCATGAGTGTTGTGAGAAATTTCGTAGCTACTGACATGACAAGAACAAGTTACTAGTATATTTGATAAAATTAAATGTATCCTGCTTAGTTAGTACTACAAAGAGCGCTGTGCTATACCCGTTTTATTTTTTATCGCACTTGAATGCTCATTATAAAAACAATGTCCCCCAACTCGAATCCATTATACTTAATCTGAGCCATCCAGTCTATTTTCTGCCTCATACTGTTGTATACTAAGCAAAACATTAGCAAATTAAAAATTAAAGTCTTTATTTTGACCTGACCAGAAAACCCGGTCTTCCAAATGCGAGGCTAGCACATTAGTCACTACACCGCCACATTTAAAAATGGGATTTCAACTTCAGACCATTGCATTTAGCTAGTATACACAACGTCACAGTTAGACCATCGCACTTCACCGTACCCACCAAACGCACTTCAGCATATCTAACAACAAGTTAGTGTCACAATGGACCATTGCACTTCAGCGTGTTAACCAACGCACATCAGCATGGACCATCGCACTTCGGCGTGACCATCGCAGTTCGGAGTACCATCGCGGTTCCGAGTCCTACACATCTATCTCTGAGACTAAAGCATTCAGAGCAAATCTGACGTGGGGTTAAAAAGTTCACCAGGTTATAATCAAGTTCTATCTGCTATGAAATTTTTAGACAAATCAGACAACCTGTTGTTGGGTTGCTGCCCCTGAATTGGTAATTTTAGGGAAATTTTGCAGTTTTTGGTAATTATCTTGAATATTATTAGAGATAGAGATAAACTGTAAACAGAAATAATGTTCAGCAAAGTAAGATCTACAAATAAGTTGACAGGACCAAAATTGTCAATTGACCTTTTAAGGAGTTATTGCCCTTTATAGTCAATTTTATTAACCATTTTTCGTAAATTTTTGTAATCTTTTACTAAAATCTTCTCTAAAACTGCTCGGCCAAATTTAACCAAACTTGGCCACAATCATTATTGGGGTATCTAATACTATTTATTATGATTTAAACGTTATTTTACATGATTTCCAAAACCACAGTGGATACTGGTGAGTGACTGAGGCTCTTGGAAGCCTCTATTTTTTCAGGGAAAGTTTGTTGGTCTAGTTTTAAAAGATCAAACTAAGCCAATTTTGCCGGATCAAATATTAAAGGCAATTTTGGCAGATATTATAACTTCATTTCATTAACCACAGTCTTCACGCTGAGTGGCAGCCCAGGCAGCCCAGGCTTGTAATATTGCTCTTGGGCCTGTAAAAATCATATCTACCAGCCAACAGAATCTAACTAAAAATTTTCAAAAATTGAGCTCCGGGCCTGTAGATTTAGCAGTTCATCGTGAAGACTGTAACCATTATTTCATTTAGCATTTTCAATGAAAGTACAAGTACTTTGAGAAGTAGGAGAAGCTAAGCAACAGAACAGAATTCATTTGGGTCATTGATGTCTAGATTATATAGTGGATTCATAGATTGTCATATTGATTTATGTGCATATGAGCACAGAGGAGCAGTAGTCAATGAATAATTTTGTGATGAGAGGTATGTTATTAAAATGATGACTTTATTTGAATATTTTTTTCTTGTCAGACTCGGTACATCATGTACATGTAGTTTCCAAGATTTTTTTAAAGTTTGAGGTCATAGAGTTCAAAGTTTTGATTCTTGTTGTGGGCAAGTCGAAAATTATCCATGTTAGAAGTGACAAATTATTTTTTTTACAAAACCGTAAACAATTTGTTGATATTCGTGATGAGGTCAGTTTAAGGAAACCAAGAAATAACTTATGGTAAAGTCATTAATATTGTGCAGTTGTAGTAATAATACTCCTTAGTACTTAACTTAAATGTTGACAAGTTTCTGATTCCTTGATACAGGTCTGAATTTGGATTGTAAATAAATATTTGACACATTATAGTTTTCTGAATAAATGTAGTCAAAGAACTTGACATTGGTTACACAGCTACTTTTGCATAGCTACTATTTCTGTACCAAAATTATGTAGTACTGGAAATCTACTTTTAATATTTAGTACCATTTTGTTACTTTACAATTATCATGATATTAAGTTCCTGTATTTTACAGTACTTGATTTGTACTTGAAATTTAAGTACTACAGTTTTTTATTCATGTTATTACACCGTTACATTTTCAGCATTTGGATAGTTTGTCTATTTCAAATCTCTTAAAGTTATGATTTTCAAACATGGAATATTATGATCACTGTGGGTATTATTTCTGTACCAAAATTTTTAGTACAAAACAAGTACTGTAAAATACTGGTACCGTACCTAAATATTACAATAACTTTTAAGTAAAGAAGTAGTACTAAATATTAAAAGTAAATGTCCGGTACTAAAGATTTTTAGTACAGAAATAGAGTAAAAAGGATAAGAATGTACGAAAAATACTCTGGTTACCAACCAATCAAAATCCGGCATTATTATATCAGGTTGAATTTATAAGGAAAATTGCAATGCAAGCAATCCCAAACAGGCCTACATTTCTTGTAGATGAATTATGAAAAAGTTTAAAAGAACAAAATTTTTTTATACAACCACAATATGGGGTCGTATACTGCTACACAGTATACTGCTATCACATTGTTGTCCTTTAAAGACATTTGGTTTCTGGACAAAAAACTTTAGTTTAAGTGTATGGTACTCTTTAATCTAAAGGTTCAATACCCAGTGGCGGATCCAGAAATTTCCCCCCTATAATGTGTCAAATATTTGATTACAATCCAAATTCAGACCTATATCAAACTTGAATATTGTGTTCATTTTTACCCCAACTGTTCAGGGTTCATTTCCAGCTTTGCTTGGGAAACCGTTTATTGAAGTTTATTTTGCTTTTTGACAGAAAATTTATCCATTGCCAAGTTACATTGAAAGGTTTTTCTTTTATTAAAATCTGCACATATATTTATATTAATTTTTTATAAGCTTAACTGTTGATCTTCTTTCTGTTGTTTGCTTACATTTTGTTTCAATTCACTCAAAAGTAAAAGTATATAGTAAAGGTATAAATTAGTGAGCATCAATTCATACTACATGTAGTTTTTGTCTGGACTTCTTGATTAAATTATTTATATATACAATTTTAGCTTGTTACCAAATGAAAGGAAAGTACAGTATTGACAATGATTGATATCACTGGTGAACATGTATGTCATGTAGGTGTGAATGTCCTGCAAAAAAGAACTGATATCAAAGTAAGTTCATCTGTAGAATTGCAGTTAATTTAAATAATTTGATGTTATCTACCTAAAACTGTTTCAAGTATAACTGTACATGTACACTGTTGCTTATTTTTCTCACTTTCCCATGTAATGTATGCATCAAGGCATCCTTACTTTGCCCCTTCTACTGCTCCATACACACACACTTGAGATGTCAGAAGTTCAAACTATCATAGCATTTACATTTCAAACTTACACAGCTACAATAGTACAAGTAATCTTGATGTACAATTCTAAAGATGCATATCGAAAGTACATCTGTAAAGCTGTATATTAACTGTACAGCTGTAAAGCTGTATATCAACTCTACAGTTTACAAACAGTTTTACAGATGTACAGTTTATATGTACAGCTAAACAGCTGTACAGTTGATATACAGCTTTACAGATGTACAGTTTATATACAGCTTTATAACTGTACATTTGATATACAGCTTTACAGATGTACAGTTTATATACAGCTTTATAGCTGTACAGTTAATATACAGCTTTACAGATGTACATTCGATATGCATCTTGAGAACTGTACATCAAGATTACTTGTACTAAAGTAGCTGTGATATAGACATCAATCTTATTCTATGAGAAGAGAAAAAGGGGGGGGGGAATCAGAATCAAAGGCATGTATAATAGATGTGCCATTTGATTTTGGTACACTCAAAATGATTGCTACTACCTTGACAATGTCCAGTACGGGGTGACATCCTCCGCTATTGCTTGCAATAGCAAATCTAGTGTTAGAATAACCTTAATCGCCATTCATTTTTTCTGATGTAAGAAGAGGAAATAGAGTATATTTCTCAATCTTACGTGTAAAATTGTGAGTTAGATATTTGACACTGAACAGCACAAAACGTATAGACAAGGAATAAACCAATGCAAAATGTGTCATTTTAGGCTATACAAAGTATTGATCAATCAATCAAATCATGATTAAAGTGATCAAATCATGATAAGAGATCAATCAATCAAGTTTTGATATCAAACAAGTAATTAATCAAGTGCAGAATTCGAAAAAAAATGTCCCCTCACCTTTTACAAACTGTCAATCAGTCGATCAATCAATCAATCAAACGATCAATCAATCAATCGATTGATTGATCAATCATGATCACAAACCATCAATCAACCAATCCACATATCTTTTCCGATCAATTTATGAAAGAATATACCTTGAATTCGCTTTTGAACAATCGACTTTTGCGTATTATTATGTCACCCCTTTGATAAAAGGGGGACATATTGTTATTCTACGAATTATTCTTCCACACTTTTTGTCCAGCTTAGTTCTCGGAGATGACTTGACATACATTGATAAAACTGCTCCATAATGACAATCCCCATGTGCAGATGTGCACTTTGGGTTTGGAATTTTCAAGATGGCTGCCGTTACCATGGAAATGATAAAAATGTGAAAAACCGAAAAATGGTCCAAATTAAATGAAACTTTATAGCTGTACAGTTAATATACAGCTTTACAGATGTACATTCGATATGCATCTTGAGAACTGTACATCAAGATTACTTGTACTAAAGTAGCTGTGTACCTAGTCGGACTGGCCTATATTATGTATTGATAAGTTGTTATCATTTAGAATACATAAAATATTTGCCACTGGACATTAAAATAAGCAAGAAAAATCAACCAATTAATGATTTTGCATTATCAGAATGAATTTGCAAACATATAGCAATCAGATTATGTACATGGATAAACCTTGGAGCTTTTTCAATGAACCAGGCTCAACCAGCATATAAATATAAAAAGATGAGGTATGATCCTCAATGTGTCATTTAAAAGACCAAAGGACATTATTATTTATATAATATAATGCTATTTCACACTTTCAATTTTGTTTTTTGATCAGAATGTTTTTTTGTCAAAACATAGCCATAAGTATTTCTATTCTTGGCGGCATTGTCAACGATTTGTATAAAGCTTTATATTTTAGAAGGTAGAAGACCTGGCCTTGAAGTCATAAAAATTTTGAGTCAGATTTTGTACTCATACTCCAAAATCAACCAATCAAAATGTTTGATTTCATGTTTCGAGCATGATTTTTGTGCTCCGAGCACTGAGCAAAGTTTTATGACTTCAACCCCTGGACTTCATATCTTGTTTGCAGAGGCTTATGTTACAAAGATTCTGTCTGTCATATGTCCATTGTCCTCGACCTCATTTTCATGGTTCAATAACTGCTTGAAAAAAATATATAGTTCTTTTGTCATGTGAATTTCTCACTTATGACATGTATGAGTTATAGGATATTATAACTATATTTGGTATATGGGTTCCTTGCAACATCTACATGTCTGTTAGAAGGGTTCACCTGACTTCTTCTTCACTTTTTTGATCAGTGACAAGGTCCATTTCTCAAATCCTACATGCAGTAGGTCAAAAATCGTTAGGTGTAGATGTCTGTCTGATAGGATTTATCCGACCTTCACCTCATGGTCAAAGATCTGTAAAGTGTTAAGATTTTGTGATACTTTTAGTAATTTTACCTTTATCTTAAAGAATTTCAACATAAAATAAATGGTCAGCATGTGCACTCTAAGTCTTGTTGAGGTACTGGTTACCTATGAGTTGTACGCTTAACATGCTTTGACAATTTTGTAAATACTGGTTCAACCTACAGCTTGTATTTAATAGAGGCTCTTCCAAGTTACGGCTATGGTAGTTTGATCAAAATTCCTTCATTGTTTGATTAATCTATTGATACTGTTTCTGCACATTGATATATGAGTACACACACAACTTTGTTTTAAGATTTCATAAAAGTAAAAGGAAAGGCTTACATTATTTGACAGCAACCTTACAGCAAAAAGTACAATAAACATGGACATGACAGCAGTTTTTATACAACCGCCAAAAATCACATCATCGTCCGAAATTAAAAAAAAAAATTTCTTCAAATATTATTTGGGGGAGGGGTGTCAATTCGCAACAGCATAGTGTACTGCACAAAAGCAAAAAAATGAATATAAATTCAAATCATATAACCAATTCTAGTTCTTTGACTACATTTATTCTGTGTCAGAAACCTATTATTTGTCAAATATTTAATAACAATCCAAATTCAGACCTGTATCAAGTGCGAATATTGTGTCCATTTTTGTCCCAACTGTTCAGGGTTGGACCTCTGCGGTCCTATCCAGCTGCACTCGGCAAAGCAATTTAATTTAACATGCTAAAACTCACAATATGTCATAGGCATATACTTTGTAGGCAGTTTGGGACCTCTTAAGTGTATTAGACTATTAATTATTATAACATTACTTCATGGAAGTTAAATTTATATTATTTATGAATATTTTATTTCAGTTACCATTCACAGTGAACATGGTGAAGAATAACCAATACCATGAAAACAGGACATAGAAGACTACCTCACAAATATGGGAATTTTACAAAAAATACAACATTTAAATTTACAAAGAAGACATTTATTTTGACATTCATGGACTTTGAAAGTAAAGAAATTAGAATGTGAATAAAAATCCTTGGAAATAAAATTTTGAACTTTGAAGGAGATTGAAGATTATGTTTGTTCTAAGAAAGTTTTAAGAAAACAGATACATTCAAAACTGTAAAAAGGAAACAATACAATATTCACAATTACTCTTGAGATCAATTACTCTTGATATATAATTAAAAGATCATATAAAAGTAAGGAAATTTGGTTGAATTGCCAATGAGAAAAATATCCACCAGAGTTCAAATGATGTGATAGTGAGCAATTATAGTTCCTCCAACAATGAAAAAAAACCAACTATATAGTGTGCTATGAAAAGGTTTGGATATGACAAATAGAGAAAACTAAGAGCCTTATTTTAACAAGTTAATATATGAAAGCAAAATATGAACCAAAGACAAGCACTGAAATACTTATGATTAATGTTGATTTACTCTTGAATATTCATGTAGAATGTTTAAAAAGATTTTAAATCAAAGTTATCATCAATATTCAACTTGTTAAACAACAAGTCACTGTATGACAGAAAGTTCTATGCCAAAAACCTTGTATGTATTGCATCAGAAACAAATTTTAGATAGAACACTAGGAGACTATATAAGGGAATGCAGATAAAAAGTATCATCACCTTAAAATAAAGTATAGCATTTTGTCATTGACAGGTCCATCAAAAGTTTCAGCAATATAATTGTTACATAAAAATCAAACCATACAGGTATTTTTTTTCAAAATATCTCTATATAATAATATGCATAATATTAATAGACGTTATACGTCCGTGGTACAAAAAATCCGTATTACGGACGTGGTACTTAACATCCGTATTACGGACGTAGCATTATAAATCTGTATTACGGACGTTTAACGGATGTTTTACGGTTTGATACGGACGTATTATGGATGGGAAGCAACGGACGTTTTACGTCCGTGGTACTATTCGTCCGTAGGTTTTCCGTATAATACGGACGTATTACGGATTTTTTACGGACGTAATACGTCCGTAGCTATTTTACCTGTGTATAAGCATGCAATTTATCAAGTGCTTCCAAGGCATTTTTAACACTCTAAAAGTAATTATTTCACTATATTCATAGTCCTTATATGAACAATGTATTACCAGGTTTTTGATTGTACCAAGTGTACTAGTAAATCGAATAGACAGTTTAACGGTGTTAAGGTCTCCTGTTATAACATAGGAACTGGTGCCAGAAATGTATTTGGAATTACTGCAATTTCATGACGTAGGTGTATTGTCACTGATATTAACATCTTTACACATTTCGCTATAATTAAGCACATATTTCCGGGTAGATTTTTTTGTAAACATAACAAATAAGAGGGAGTTCAGCATTATCAAAATAGCTAGGAATTTGATCTTTAACAGAATGATCATAAAAAATACCAGCAAAATTTTCAAAATCAAAACCTTTATTGACATATTTGATTTAAATAAAATGTTTTTATGATGTTCAGGTCGATCAATTTTGGGAAACAGTTTAGAATAACAATATGCAATTATAATTTGGACGATTTCATACTTAGGACTGCAATATGGAATTGTGTTGCAATCCTCTAACATTTGATGTAATTTCTTGACAGGTAAAGAACAGGTTTGATAACAAATAATGTCTGCCGTTGGTACTGTTGGCACGAAATTTTCTCTGATTGCGATTTATTGTACGCCCATGACAACGGTTCTTACGGACAGTTTTTAGAAACTATATCCAAAATGATAACGGAATCGGTTCTTGATATATTAACCATTCCCATGATATTATCATAAAGACTGAGAGGATAGACTGTCTGTAATTTTTTAATCCAATTTAATTCAATTATTTTCCTTGAAAGTACAATCTTTGAATGAGATTCCGCAGGTTGCTTATTCACTACTTATAAAGGTTGAACTGTTAAATATTTAATAGGATGATTGTGCTTCTTAAGGTGTTGATAAATGATACTTTTAAATTGATGGGGTCTTCTAAAACGATAAAAGTGTTCTTGCGTGCGTTTAGATAAATAGCGTCCAGTTTCACCTACGTACTATATACCGCATCCCGGTTTGTTTCATGTGAGTAAATAGATAATACTGTTAGTTTTTCAATTTATATCAGTTTCACAATTTATGGAAAATGTGCGACCATTAAACGTGGACCTTATTGTTGGTGGAAAGACGGGGATATGTACGTCAAACGCTATCTGTCATGAAGTAACCGACCAAATATGTAAACTACCAAACCAGAGGACAAAAACTAGACAGGGTATACCAGGATAGCGCTTGACGTTTGCCTAAATAGTAGAATTGGGCTGAGTAGTGAAATATTAGTTTAGATAATTACTCCTAAAGTAATGAACATAGAGAAGTTCTCGCTCGAACACACACTCCATTATCTTGTATATTATAAGAGCATAAACCTAAAGCACGGGGAGTAAACACTTTCTCGATAAAGAACAAACTAAGTAAAATATAAATACAAGGGTAAATAAAATGGAAAAAAACACTGTATCATATTGCGTCCAAATAACACTTTAGTACCAAACTACACAAGGAACGCCTAAAGTCAAAAATCTGCTATCGGGATTCATAAATACCAAGTCACGTCAAAAGTATACGACCAAATGAAATATAACAGCAAGTAGGCAAATACAGGGAAAACTGAAAAGTAACTAAAAAAAGATACACAACTTCAGCATCCAGAATATAAAACGTTTTATTACAGATTCTTGTACTGAGATGACCACTATTGTCAATTCGACGTAAATGTCTAAAAATGAAGCGGAGAAGGCTGCATCTGTGTTATTTTTTAATCTCTAATCAGGACCATATATCAATGGGACCCAATCAGAAAAGTTAGGATTGTTAATAGAAAGAAAATCATCAATATACATGATATACAAGTATTTGAATTAAATGATCTAGCTTCTTTCATCTTTTTAGTTTTTAAAAGCGTATGAAGAAACACCGATTCATATGAAAATAAGAAACGGTCGGACAGGAGAGGTGCAAAGGAAAATGAAAGATTGAAATACACGATCCCGACCAAAAACCAAAGGAAGACTCTAGGTAGTCGAGCTCCGGTGAAACGTTGCATTCATTGATGTCATTAACAAGTAAAAGAGTAAATAAGATTAAATGTGGGGTCAACCACCAAATCAAACTACACAAAATTGGTTGTTGGTATTTTTGCTATGACAATTGTATTGAAAATGTACATTCCGAGTTCTCTTTTGTACTCTTCAACTTTTCATAGATACGGGATAAAAAAAAAATGGCAAAAATGAACAGTGTTATTGCGTCTGTGAAAATTTGTAAATTTAGATGATTATAGCTCATAAAGCTTTATTGCTTTTCATTTTACTTTCTAATAAACATAAGTATCTGTGCATAATCCAAAGGTTTTATTTGTCATGCTGTTTATTTTATAATGGCAGTTAGAATACAAACATACAAGGAAAATCAAGCAAAGAATATGTTTGACTACAATTCTCTAATGTACTAGTCTTGTAAGTAATGCACATTGTCTTCAAAAGAATTTATTCTCTTTTACAACTCTATCATCTCCCCCCCCCCCCCCCCCTAATAAAAAAAAAAAACCATGAACAGAAAAACAAGACTGTTTACTCATTTTATCTTTAGGCTGATCTTCTTTGATTCTTAACGCTTATTGAATATTTTCTTGAAGTCTTAATAAATAAAGCGTCAAAGTATACTTCCGAGGCAACAATAGTTTACCGATGTAAAAATCTCATAAATCAAACAAAAAGATACTTACTCAGGTCAGAATCAAAAACTGAGCGAATCTCGTAGGCCACATTAAGAGAAACCTGATGCATCGATAGTGTAATCGTCTCCTGTTATGATGCATCGCATGCCATGGAAATCCACACTCAGCAAATATGTTATAATTGGGAATACGACGCAAAGGCAAACAAATGGAATTATGAACAATTATAATACATAGTTATTGTGAAAAGCAATAATTTACTAAAATTAAACATGTGAAAAATAAACCGACAACGCCATGGATAAAAAAGAAAAAGACCCACAGACAAACAATAGTACACAGAACACAACATAGATACTAAAGACTGAGCAACACGAACACCATCAAAAACTAAGGGTGATCGCAGGTGCACCGGAAAGATAATCAGATCCTGCTTGACATGTGGCACCTGTCGTGTTGCTCATGTTAGTATGAACCTGGTAATAAGCCTAATTCGGTAGGTCACATTCGAGGAAAAGAGACGGGATCGTAATTACATTTGGAACATATCCGCTATCATCTGTGCATAATTCAATATTCCATAACGGTCAACCAACTCCTGAAGGCGTCGTAAAATTTACGAAGGAATGATTTCAACTTCACCACTTAGAACTTTTGGTTTAGTAGCTTCTTTGTGAGCAGCAACACTCTATCAAGGAATTCATGATAGGAAATACAAACCCTGGAGTATCGTGTCAACTGGGAGATATATACTCCATATGCAGCCGCTGCAGGAATGTTGCTACATAGAAATTGAAAGTTCACAATTGGGAAAGGTAGGGTAATAATTTGCAAGACAATGTGACTAAAATTGTTCTATTATTTATACAATTCATAAAGTGCTATTTATATTTTATGTACTGGCTCGATAATGCTGTTGCAGTACTGTTAATCTGCGCGAGTATCATCATTCAAGTTGTAGGCAAAGTTCACCTTAGCTGAATTTGATTATTGCTTTTTGTTTGTCCTTTTGGGTTATAGTGGTGCTTACGTATTCAATTACATAAACTTATATGTTGGCTTTCAAATGTTTGTTTTTCGGCTTTCGGACCCAATGCATAAAGCGTTATTTTCATTTAACGTCATTGGAAGCTGGTTTCGTGTATGGATGCTTCTATGACAAACGAATAAACAACCAATGAAAATATCTATTCTTTTATTTTAACTTTTTCACTTCTATGTATAGTATATGTATTAATCACATCTGTAATCCATATCAAGTAGACGACAAACCTTTTTATAAGTGTGATATATGAAGTGAATGAGACAAAGTACGTCGACATGAGAATATAC